GGAAGCATCCTTAGGTAGTGTAGATTCAAATTTATTCAAATCATGACCCCCAGGGTAGGGAGGGGCCACTATGGAGGATCAATGTTTTACATAGAAATATATAGGAAAAATCTTTAAAAATCTTCTTCTCAAGAACAGCAAAGCCCTGATTGATCATATTTATGTGGAAGCATCCTCAGCTATTTTGTTCAAATCATGACCCCCGGGGGTAGGGTGGGGCCACAATGGAGGATTGAAGTCTTAAATAGAAATATATAGGAAAATATCTACTTCTGAAGAACTGCAATAAATAGAAATTTATAGGAAAATATCTACTTCTGAAGAACTGCAAAGCCATTAATAGTCATTTTGATATGGAAGCATCCTCAGGTAGTTTAGATTCAAGTTTATTAAAATGATGACCCCCGGAGATAGGGTCGGGCCACAATGGGGGATCGAAAATTTTACATAGGAACATATAGGAAAATATCTCCTTCTCAAGAACTGAAAATCAAGTTTAGTCATTTTGATATGATAGCGTCCTCAGGTAGTGTAAATTCAATTTTGTTCAAATAATGACCCCCCGGGGTAGGGTGGGGCCCAATGGGGGGTAAAAGTTTTACATAAGAACATATAGAAAAAATATTTCTTCTCAAGAACAGAAAAGCTATGTTTAGTCATATTGATATGGAGGCATCCTCAGGTAGTGTAGATTAAAATTTGTTTCAAATGATGACCTCTGGGATAGGGAGGAGCCACAATGGGGATCAAATTTTTACAAAGGAATATGTGGGAAAATTTTTTAAAATCTTCTCAAGTACAACAAAGCCATTTGTTATATTGACATGGAAGCATCATCAGGTAGTTTAAAATTCAAGCCCCCCGGTAATCTTTTCAATACTGAACTGATTTGTGCTTTTGCCTAGCCAATGTGCTCAGGTGAGCGATGTGGCCTCTTGTTTGATGTGGTTCTGAAAAACAGTACAAACATGATAGAATTCATGTTTGTCACCTGAATTACTTGGGTAACCTATACTTTTACAAAGTATAACTGGCCACCTGTCGTCTGTTAACAACTTCTGTAAAAATAATGGGCCACTTTCAGCCTAAAATAATATGATGTTTTTATGGGTAAAGAGTTACAAAAATTCTGAATTTCATAAAGTTGTAGTTTTGGGCCAAAATGTCTTAAAAATGTGTGTGATATTTAAGTAATCTTCTTCACTAAAAAAACATCTAGGAGACGTACTGAACACATATTTAAACAAATACAAGGTACCCCAAGAAATATTATGGAATTTACAACCCCCTACCCAAGGGGTTCAGGCTCCAGGGCTGGGTGGTATGCAGTGTATTTCAAGTTTTATTAGGAACCATCTTTTGGATAAAGTATGTACATAGTCATAACTAGCAAACATAAACTTTGAAATTCATGATCCCTGCGTGAAGAGTTCAGGTTCCAGGTTTGGGCTATAAGACAGTGTTTTAAAAATTAAAATCATCTTTGATAAAAAGCATTTCAAAATAGACAAAAGAAGTGTACATTATGACCTATATACATGTAAAATATGCTGTAGACATTCGGGACCAAAGACGGAGCTACATATATGGTGAAATTGAAATCAGACTTCATTTTCGATATGAATTGCATTATTTTATTTCATTATTATATATATTTTTTTTTGGGGGGGGGGGGGGGATGGGGTAGCAACCATGTAAAGGCCGGATTTCGATAACAAGCTAAGATCCCTCAACTTAAATTTTGAATTTCATGATTTCCGCCAGGGGCGGAAGAAGAAAGGGGCAAGCGGCTTCTGGGGCCGCATTGCTTCTAGTGGGTTTTTTGGGGGTCCCGAAAGCCGTTGAAATTTCAGCATTCTTTAAAACTAAATTTGAGTGTCCAGAATTTACAGTAAATATTAGCGATTTCTTTCTGAAATTTATAATTTTTACTGGCGTGGAACTGCCAAGACCATTGAAGCTGGCGAATTTTCAGCATTTCTGACAACGAAAGTTGAGTGCATAGCAAAGAAAATTTATACTATAGTATTTCTTTCTGGATTTCAACGTTTAAAAATCTAATTTTATCTTGAAATTAAGATGAAATTAGGTAGAAACAGGACATCCTTTTTTTATTTTATTTTTATCCAACGAGCTTAATAGTGCTTTCTATCCTCCGATATACATGTAATTGTAAAATAGATATTATAACATATCATTTATGTACATATGCTTAAAATAATTTGTAGTTACAATTCCGCTTTCTAGTATTTTCTTAGAATGCTGCTTACATAACGAATCGATAAATTTCCGAATATTATCGGTTTGAAAAAAATTATTTGAATCAAGCTTTTTTAAAGTAACTCTTCCACTACCCCTTTATTACCTCCTATCAGCAAATGTGGAGGGAGCTTTTAAATTTTCCATCACTTTTAAATTTAACCCCTATATGTAGTAGCATAATAATATAAGAGGTAAAATTTATTACGGAAACAAGCGCCATTGGGGGGTGGGGTAATAAGGAAATTTTCCATACTAAATGAAAGTAAAAAAAACTATAAGTGTTAATAACTCCTAAAAAGTACCACACCTGGTACGGAACTACGGGACTGTTTATAGTATGTGGTTTTGTTTTGTTTTGTTTTGTTTTGTTTTTTTTTGGGGGGGGGGGGGGGGAGGGGCTGATCAGCATATACAAAGAAAGATAACCGAGTATGCAGATTTTAATTTGTCCCACAGTTCACGTATTTAATAAATAATTTAAGCGTATCGGGCACATTGAAGTAAACAAGATGACTGGAAGTTTTCAAGGTAACGTACTAAATTGTGTAGTCTCTTCCTTGTTTGTGTCATAGGTTCTTCTCATCTAAGTTCCATTTAGTAAATAAATATAAACAAAAAATTACCTACTATACTACATGCATAACTTAGTATATATTTAGTATAGAAGATATATTTTTATTTACTAATTCAGATGGGGAGTGTCTGGTTTACATGCATTTAGAGGAGCGATATGCATAATATGCTATAACCTCGATCAACTCCAATTCCCCCCTTCTCTCTCTCTCTCTCTCTCTCTGAATGTGTATGTGTTATGCAATGATTATCTTTCTTTTATTTAGAATATGGATTCCTTACAGCTAGCACAGGACGTAGTTAGGTGTGACGTTTGCTCGGACCCTTGTCGGGAAAAGTCTCCTGCGGAAGTGCATTGTAACACGTGTCACACAAACTTATGCAGCCCTTGTGTCGCCCGACACATGGTATCCGACAAAGCTAAGAAGCACGATATTGTACTTTTTCATTCCACTGACACGGAAATCATCTTGCCAACTTGTTCCGTCCACTCCAAACACAAATGTGACTTGTTTTGTGTGGCATGCCACAGTCCTATTTGTCTGAAATGTCTTTCCACCGACCACAACAGCCATAGAGTGCAAGAAATTACCGAGTTATGCAGATCTCTTTGCAAGGATATTGAGAAGGAAACGGAGGAACTGGAGTCGCACATCATACCTGAATTTGAAGATCTTGTAGAGGACGAGGAAGAAAAATTGAAGAAACTGCTGCAAGACTACGACAAGCTGGAGGATTCCATTGAAGAACATGGAGAGCAGGTTCACAAGGCAGTAGACGCTGTTATCAACAAGTACAAAGTCAAAGTTCAACAGATGAAGCAAGATGATGCTAAAGCCCTTGGTCAACAGAGAGATGATATCAAAGATTTGTTGTCTCTGGCAAAACAGACTGCGAAAAGAAACAAACTGATAGTGAGGTCAAAGAATGCCACAGATATGATGAATTATAAATCTGAAAATGCAAAACTACGGAAAATTCCTGCTCTGAAGAGTATAATTCCCTCAGCTTTTGAATCAAAGGACGTCTCTGTCAATCTTTTAGAGAAGTTCTTCGGAATGATTCCAAATTCTCGATTTTTGTTTAAGCCAGAGTACACCCTCCAAAATAATGATGGTCAAAACTCTGCTGCCAGCGCATCAGAGTCCACGGATAAGGTGATGCATTCTTTCGCTTTACCGTATAAACTGCTCTACAGGGTAGCATGCTCAAAGATGGAGAAGTTATGGACATGTGGCAATGAGAACACGATTAAATGTGTGGATATGCGGAACGGTTCTATATTACAAACCTTGGCGTTCAGCCTTGTGCCAGTTTCATTCTGTTTGACTGAAGCGGATATTTTATTTGTCTGTGATGGGGTAAGCATTGTGAGAAGAGAAGGGACTGGTGTCCCACAGTCATATTTTAGTGTTCCTGGAGGATGGGTCGTAGAGGCAATTGCAACCACGACACACCCCGTCTTGGGTCTCCTTGCGTTTCTGAGGAGCGAGGACAGCAGGCAGTCCAAAACTGTCCGAATTATCGATGCCCAAGTCCGAGGCGAATTTCAGTATGATGACAAGGGGAAACCACTGTATCACTCAGGCTGCTATGATTATTTCCTCACTGAAAACAGAAATGGCGATGTTTGTGTCTCCGATACAACAGCACTCGTTGTGATAGATAAATCAGGCAAGTTTCGCTTTAAATATCATGGGAATGTGTTTGCAACGTTTGATAAACCTTTTAAACCAAGAGGCATTGCTACGGACAAAGATGGCATCATTTTGCTTTCAGACCTAGACAATAGCTGCATTCATCTAGTTGACGAAAATGGCAAATTTCTTCGATACATCACATGCGGGAGATCTTTGAACAAAGTGTGCGATTTGTGCATTGATTACAGAGGCCAGATCTGGATAGCAGAGAGAAATTCTGCAAGAGTAAAGTGTATCGAATATCATTAATTAATAATGAATATTAAATGACGTGTCGTGACGCTCAAAAACGGTGCTCACGCGTTGCCCTATGGTGCCAGAGTCCGCCAAGAGGCGTAAAAAGCAAAAGGGCCCAGGCTCCCCTAAGCTCGCACAAATACTATAGTTTCGGCGTTCAGATCTTTTTTCACACAGTCTTGCGTCACTCCTAGTATATGTTTATCAATTCTCAAAAATGTCCAAATTATTTTTAGGTCACCTGAGTCACTCAGGTGACCTATTGCTATCTGTTTTCGTCCGTCGTCGTCCGTCGGTCGTAAACTTTTGAACATTTTCAGCTTCTTCTCTTGAACCACTGAACCAATTTCAACCAATTTTGGCATATAGCATCAATGGGTGAAGGGGTACAAACATTGTGAATTTCATGGTCCCTGCCCCCCTGGGGCCTGAGGGGTGGGGCTAAAACCATCAAAATTAGTGCTATCTTTAAAAATCTTCTTCTTTACTCCTGGACATCAAGCAGTCAAACTGTTGGCATGATTGTAATAAGCATTGAGCCCTCTACCAAAATTATGAAATTCATGGCCCCAGGGTCAGGGGTTCTGGTGCTAGGGCGGGGCTATATAGATCATATAGTGAAAGTGCATTACTTCTTTGAAAATCTTCTTCTCTGCTCCTAGGTATTATTGAAACAAATTGAATACATAGTTATGATAAGCAAGGGTGACTATACCAAACTTGTGAAATTCATGGCCTCAGGGTCAGGGGTTCTGGTGCTAGGGCGGGGCTATATAGATCATATAGTGAAAGTGAATTATTTCTTTGAAAATCTTCTTCTCTACTCTTGGGTATTATTTAAATAAATTAAATACATTGTTATGATAAGCAAGAGTGACTCTTCCAAAACTGTGAAATTCATAGCCCCAGGGTCAGGGGTTCTGGTGCTAGGGCGAGGCTATATAGATCATATAGTGAAAATGCATTATTTCTTTGAAAATCTTCTTCTCTACTCCTGGTAGCATTTAAACCAATTAAATTCATAGTTATGATAAGCAAGAGTGACTCTACCAAAATTGTGAAACTTCATAGCCCCAGTGTCAGGGGTTCTGGTGCTAGGGCAGGGCTATATAGATCATATAGTGAAAGTGCATTATTTCTTTGAAAATCTTCTTCTCTACTCCTGGGTATTATTTAAACAAATTAAGTACATAGTTATGATAAGCAAGAATGACTCTACCAAAATTGTGAAATTCATAGCCCCAGGGTTAAGGGTTCTGGTGCTAGGGCGGGGCTGTATAGATCATATAGTGAAAGTGAATTATTTCTTTGAAAAACTTCTCTACTCCTGGGTATTATTTAAACAAATTAAATACATAGTTTTGATAAGCAGGGATGTCTCTTCCAAAATTATGAATTTCATGGCCCCTGGGTCAGAGGTTCTGGTGCTAGGGTGGGGCTGTAACGATCATATAGTGAGAGTGCATTATTTCTTTGAAAATCTTCTTCTCTACTCTTGGGTATTATTTAAACAAATTGAATACATAGTTATGAAAAGCAAGGATGCCTCTTCCAAAATTATGAATTTCATGGCCCCAGTATCAGGGGTTCTGGTGCTAGGGCAGGGCTATAAAGATCATATAGTGAAAATGCATTATTTCTTTGAAAATCTTCTTCTCTACTCTTGGGTATTATTTAAACAAATTGAATACATAGTTATGATAAGCAAGGATGCCTCCTCCAAAATTATGAATTTCATGTCCCCAGTGTCAGGGGTTCTGGTGCTAAGGCGGGGCTATATAGATCATATAGTGAAAGTGCATTATTTCTTTGAAAATCTTCTTCTCTACTCTTGGGTGTTATTTAAACAAATTGAATACATAGTTATGATAAGCAAGGATGCTTCTTCCAAAATTAAGAATTTCATGGCCCCTGGATCAGGGGTTCTGGTGTTAGGGCGGGGCTCTATTTATTATAGAGTGAAAATGCATTTATGTTTAAAAATCTTCTCTGCTCCTGGGTATTATTTAAACAAACTAAGTACATTGTTATGATGAGCAAGGATGCCTCTTCCAAAATTGTGAAATTCATGGCCCAAGGATCAGGGGTTCTGCTGTTAGGGTGGGGCTATATAGATCCTATAGTGAAGGTGAATTATTTCTTTGATAATCTTCTTCTCTGCCCCTGGGTATTATTTTAACAAATTAAGTACATTGTTATGATACGCAAGGATGCCTCTTCAAAAATTGTGAATTTCATGGCCCCAAGGTCAAGGGTTCTGGTGAAAAGGGAGGGGGGGGGGACTCTATTGATTATATAGTGAAAAAGCAAAATTTCTTTGAAAATATTCTTTTCTGCTCCAGGTTAAAAAGCAAAGAAGCTAAGTGTATAGTTATGATGAGCAAGAGTGCTTCTTCCAGAGTAGTGAATTGCATGACCCCTGGGTCAGATGTGCTGGTGTAAGGGTGGGGCTCTTGATAATATAGTGAAAATGCATTAATTCTATTAAAATCCTGTCTGCTCTTAGTGTTAAGCAGATAAACAAAGTGATTACTTATGATGGACAAACTTCTGGTCCCAGGGTGAGAGGCTCTGGTGTTTCTCGCTGGGGAGGGGGGGGGGGCTCTATTGATAATATATTGAATCTGTAATAAAAATGCATTATTTCTTTAAAAATCTTCCCTGCACCTGGGCAAAAGGGGCAAAAAGAGTAAAAGTTTTAATAAGGAAGAGTATTTTTACCAGATTTTTGAACATCTGGACCATTTGGTCAAGTGTTCTGGTCCTGTCATATATTAATTTGTATTCTACTGAGAGGAGTTATTCCCCTTTGCCATTTACTTTTGATAATTAATCACTGTAAATAATGTACTTAAAAGGTTAATAGAATAAGAAAATTATGCAAGAATTTTTATTGTATAATACAAAAAGTACTTTCATAGTAAGTTTTAATGATCAGGTAGACTTGTAAGTAATAGATAAATAAAAATGAGACAAAAATAACTTGTCTTTTTAAATATTCATCAAAGACCAAGAGAGGCCAATGTAAGAGATCTCAACTAGGAATTAAAATAGTACAGAAGCACTGATAGTTTGTTAATATACTGTATGGTGATAGTGATAATTGGGGAACAGATTAGAACCTAATTTTTGAACTATTAATGAATACTAGATTAGTTATTGGTGATCCTGATCACCCTATTTTTCTTGCTTTTGGGCAACAAAGCTTCACCTTTCAGTTCATTTTATACTCTATGGATCCTCTAAATTGTTGCAGTATACTCAGGTGACCATTAAGGCCCTTGGGCCTCTTGTTGAAATTATTACTGCTTGTCAGATTCAGTCATTCCATGTTTGACTCTATTCATGTGCCTGTCTTCCATGGAATTATTTGCAATAGTGGGTTGCTTGATTGAATTGAACCAAAGCTTTAGTTTTTATGTTTGATGCTGTAGTTTTAATTTTGTGTATATATATGAGTGGTACAAGGCAGTGCACTAAGTTTGTTAGAAATACAAACCTTGCTTCAGCCTTAGCAAAACTGTGATGCAGGTTTTATGTACAAGTTATTTGTGATTCAGATTTGTTACAAAGTATTGTGGCATCTTGCCTTTAAATGAATATTTATCAGAAACATCAGACTTAGTGTTTTATTTAAAAAAGAAGCTTATGGAAGAGTTGGCATCTAAAGGAACAGTACTGTACCTTTGAAAATGATAGTAGTAGATGTTGTTTGATACAGACTGTACTATTTTATTTGAAACATATTTGGATTAAAAGGTCAACTATGTGTGACGACACAGAGGCCGAGAGAATGCTTGTGAGCGATCACCAATATTCCTTATTCCTCCAACAAAAATGTTTGCGAGCGGCCAAGCGCTCGTGAAAGTTTGCCCTGTTGAACAGGCCTCTGGAGTTTGATACAGTATCTGTGGAGTACTGGACAATCTTATAGTAACTTGGAGGCCTGCCAGAATATAAAAGTTCTCTGGTCTGAGATGGTTTTCCTGCACACAAAGGTCGCCCGCGTGGCACAGTGGTTAGAGCGTCTGCTCTAGAGTCGCGAAGTAAGGAGTTGGTGCTTACGTCGCGGGTTCGAATCCCACTGTGGGACATGGAGACCGGTCCTTCGGATGAGACCGTATAAACCGAGGTCCCGTGTCGCAGTAGGTGCTGGCACGAAAAACATCCCTCACTGCTCAATGGCCGTAAGTGCCGAATATAGGACAAAATTTGCAGCTCTCCACCGGCGAGTGGTGGCGTCTCCATATCGGTGAAAAATTCTCGAGAGGGACGTTAAACAACATACAATCAATCAATCAATCCTGCACACAAAGAGAGACAACTTGTGTGTGTTTAACTTTTTAAACCCTTGAAAGATATGTTACATGATTATCCTTAAGTTTATTTAAGATTCATTTTTCACTGTTAACCTTATTCTCATTGAGTGTATCAGTTACATAAATGCATTGGAACTGCTCGCAGCATTGCGGGTAACAGTTCAATAGTTTATTTCCTCTTCAAAGATTAAAATGCAACAAGAAAATCAGACTATATAAGTACATAAATGTCATTTCATAAATGTTGTCAGTAATTTTCTTACTTTTTTGATGAAGTTCTGAAAAACAGTACAAACATGATAGAATTAATGCTTGTCACCTGAATTACTTGGGTGACCTATATATATACTTTTACAAAGTATAACTGGCCACCTGTCGTCCGTTAACTTGTGAACTTTTTCAATTTCTGTAAAAACAATGGGCCAATTTGAACCTAAAATAATACGATGTTTTTATGGGTAAGGAGTTACAAAAATCCTGAATGCAGTGTATTGAAAATGTTATACATACAAGTGTGTATAAGCAACAGAGTGTTTAAAGCAATATGAGCTGCATTTTTGGCTCTTCTGAGCCAAAGGCTCAAAGAGCTAATGCTATAGCCATTTGTGCGGTGTGCGTAAACTTTTTAGAATATGGGCCATAACTCAACAACCCCTCGGCCAATTATTGTCAAAGTCACAGGGTATCCTTGGCCAAAGGGCTCCCGTTTATACTAAAACTAGGGTTGTGACCCTTAAACAAGGGGAGATAATTAGGAATGTAGAAACAAAAGTACTGGTTGCTAAAAAATCTTTCTCTCAAGAACCACTGGACAGATTATCACCAAACTTACACAAAAGGATGAGGATATGTTGTAGATTTAAAATTCTTCAAGGCATCACCCTGGGGCAAAGGGCGTGGTCTCAAGGT